TTTACATGAGTTGCTTTTAGAATATTCCTTTCATGTTCCCGTTTTACATGTTATAGAAATACAGTCTATGGTTATAGTACATAGTTCGATTAATGGCAGACGTCATTACGTCACCACGCGACGCCATCCGACATCCCCTGTAGAATTTCACGTATAAACATATAGTACGTCTTCGTTATGATGGCATATACAGTTTTGGGTGTTTTTATTTTTAATTTACTGAAAGCTTCAAGTGCAGTTAATTATTTGTCATGGTAGATTCTTAATCAGAGTATTGTCTTAATCGTATTAAAAGTATTGTTGTCCATGTAAACGTACTGAATCAGTAGTTTTATTTTTATTTCCTAATGTACTAAATACTAAAGAATAATCAAGAATAAATAAATAGTACATAAAATACAAATAATGAATACAAATAAACACTGTAGCAGGTATATAGCCTATTGATATTGTAGCAATATCAACATATTGCTAATGCATTAACTAATATTAATTAATTGAATCATATTGTGAAAAAGAAAGAATATATATATTTTAATAGGCCTATTTATTTAATTGATTTTTAGCTAGAAAATAAAATAACACAAATTAGGTTTTAACCATTGTATTACCCTGTTCATTGAAAGTGTCATACAGTAAATGTCTTTTTATTTTTTTAACATAACATTAAATCACACCGACTGCACAAGCATTTTTAGTGTCCTGTTTTATTAAAGAGGGAATAGGTGCTGATATTGAGAGTGGGTGATTCAGTCCTATTTTCTACTACACTGCTCGATTTCCTCTCCTGACTTAACAGCTCCTTTACCTTTTCCTACATAATTAATCACACACCATCTCCCATAGACATGAGAGGGATGGACATGTAGGAGAGTGAGAAACGAAATTTAATTAAAACCAATACAATGCAATGTACACGAGCACAGTGTGAGAAGTGCCTGCTCAGCAGACTGAATATGGCCACGACACTGAGCAGGATTCATTTCAAGTAAAAACAAAAATTGAAGCGGAAAGGCTGCTCGTCAATTTAGAGCGATGAGTGTTTCTGCTGACAGCAGAGTTTCAGTTCCTCCCTGCCCTAAAATGTACCAGCCGCAGCTGTCAGTGGAGCTTTATCGGTCCATATGAGGGGGTGAGGCAGGTCTGACTGTGTGTAATGAGCTGTAAATCAAACAGAAGCCTCTCTAGGGTTTGAGATTCAGTTGTAGAGAGCCACCGTTTCATGCAGGTGGGGTCATGTGGTACTACAATCCAGCAGCGCTTCACTTGAACATCTTAGAGCTCAAAACCTCACAGGTTAGCTCAGCTGTTATAAATCACATCTTAGAAAGAAATTTTAAATACGCGTTTCAAGGCCAAACTCTCTGCTGTAGCCAGGTCCGAAAAAGATGTTTCCGCCAGTCGTGGGACATTATAAATGGTTTCTTCTGTCATTAAAATCATACATTCTACATTAATTTCTGTTATAAATATAGGGAAATATGCATTCCAAATCATCAAATTGTGATGACTACAAAACAGACTTGCTGTACTTCAGCAATAAAGATTAACTAGGACTTCATGATTTACAAAAATGTACAATGATAATGATTCCATACAAGTTATGCTGAGTTTAAGAGAATAAATTGATTGGTAAGATACGCAAGTGGTTCATTTGAGACATTATCACTTTTCCAATGCTATTTCACGACAAGTTTGTACGTATTTTATGAGGTGGCTCCTACAAATTCACCACCTCGTAAAATATGTACAATTTTTCACAAATCATACGAATTCGTACGAGGTCATACACATTTGTATGATTTGGGAAAAACCTAGCCCTCACAGAAATCGTACAAAATCGTGAAAGTGAGGTCGTCTGAATTAGCCACCTCGTAAAATATGTACAAATTGCCATGAGATTGGGTTGCACTTTTCACAGGAAAAGCACATGAATTTTTTTTGTTTTTGTTTTTTAATAAGCCCGTTTAAAAATTTGAACAAAAAGACACGTTTATGGACTAAATCTAAACACTAAATTAGTCTTTAGTGATAGGTTTTCATAGTAGTCTAATTTAAGACTTTTAAGGTTTTAAAATACCATTTAGATAACTTGTTTGTCATTGTTTTTGCATCAGTTTTGCACAGAAATTACACACTTAATCTTTAGTTTTTTTAATTACGACATTATTCCTTTTTACAACCATTATTCTCATACAGAATTCACTGTTCACTGCAAATCTCTGTTGATTTTAACCTGATGTAAAGAATTAGACCTGATGTAAAGTCTGCCATAAAGTGAGGACGGCCACAACAACATGGTGTCTTTACTAAAAAGGTATAACATATTTTATGTACCAAACGCAAAATCACATACAGCACAGTACAACAAATGAAACAATCGAGGCATTAAACAAAACAACATCTTTGGCACTTGACAAATAGATGATAGTCAAACAAAAAATGTAAACAAGACAGATGCATAACATTAAAAAGCAACAACAATTAAGTATAAAAAATTGCAAGGTGATAAAAAGTCAAGTTTTGGCAATGTGATGGTCTATCCAAAACGTTCTCAGTCTGCATGTTTTTCATGCAAAACCGCGTCATTTCTGCTGTGCCCGGCTGTATTTGAGCGCCGGTTTGCGAGGCCTCATCAAGGGCCCTAGCACCATGCTCTTCCATCCTTTGTGAGACAGCTCACTATAGTACCAGTCGCCAAGGGTCCTTATTTAGTGCAAATAGGCTGGCTGCAGTCTTTAAAAATGAATTCTGCAAGCGTCATTTTCGGAAAGCGGATGGAACTATGAGTGGTTTGGGTCCTGAAACAGGTCTGAAAGAAAAAAAAATATCGGTTAGATATACACTAGAACTTTTATGCAAGTCGTCTGCTGTACTGTTATAACAATCTCACTGATTTTACCAAATATCACAAATTTGTCTTATTTCTGGTGCTATAAAACAACAACCTTGAGTTCCTCCTAAAGTGTGTGAGCTCCATATTCTCCCTATATTCATATTATATAAGATTTTGTCTAAACGTTCAATAAAAAAAAGATTTCTGACTATTAGTTTATACGTCAGGCTTTGCAGGGTTAAAACTGTTGTAAAAGCAGAAAGATCTCTCAAGATCCTTCAATTTAAAGACTTTACACTGTTAAATGAATGTTTTTCCAAGGTTGACCATCACTTCAAATGAACCTTATACCTTTCTTTTTGTGTGAAAAACCACAATATAAACATGATATCCTGCTGAGCCTGTCAAAATGAAATGCAGTTTTCAGCATATACAGTCAAATCCTCAGAGTCTCACCGGTATGTGTTGAAAATGAATGTGTCTTTTTATCACAACATAATACTAAGATGCTGCCGCCACTGGGAAGCTACGAACAGATTTATCTTCACAAGCTGAGATTCGGTTGTTCTTAGATTGGAGGAGCATGTAGTGCTGGAGACAAGCAGAAACGAGGCCTGGATGTACTGTATGTAGGTGCAGTTATTTCTTAAAATAAGTGCTAGGCGGCTGCGTTTGAGAACTGATAGCGGACTAGCATTGATGTGAAGACTCGAGGAGAGAAAAGCAGATTTAAACTTGAAAAATTTACTTCTTACAAGATTCCATTGGGGCATGTGTAATTTCCCATAAAACCTACTACTGTGTAGACCTTTTTCCTGAGTAAACGATGAGTGCCACCATTACGAATTCTAACTTCCGATTGGATGCTCTTCTTTTCTGGTCTCCATAGGAACTAGGGGTGTAACAGTACACAAATATGACAGTTCGGTACGTACCTCGGTTTTAACGTCACGGTTCGGTATGATTTCGGTACAGCAGGGGGGAAAACTAAACTTTTTTTAATTTCTTTTTTATGGTTTACTGAACAAGTTGCTCTTTCTTTAAATACATTCAGTTATAGTTTAAATTTTCTTAGTGACAAAAATCTACCTCAGCTTATGCTTAAAACTATAGGGAGCCCTTTTACATTATAAGGTTACAATTAGGCCTAACAACTTAACCTCGGAATATACGCTAATTTGACTAGAAACACTGGAGACCGGAAATGTAAAGCATCCTTCCAGTTAAGAGTCAGACGTGACTTCAGGAAAAACGTCTATATGAATGAGTAAAACCCAGTACAAATGTTTGATATGTTGTCCTATATTTACTGCATTCAAGAACAGGTAGTGAGGTGAAAAGAATCCCATAAAATATCCAAACCGCACGCTTCACCACCCACTGTTCGGCATGCTTATTTGTATCTAACATTGCCTCTGATCCGTTTGGTCTGGCAAAGAAAAACAAAGCATCAAATAATTAGAGCAGACAGACTCTCACTCATTAGGACTGCCTTTCTTATTGGGGAGTAACTGTTCAGTCAACTGCTACAGTTAGTATGCTAATCAGCTAATGATTTCACAATTTACATATTTTGGTGTGAGAGTAAGCCACAAATAGTGAGTGGAAAAGACAATTCAGAAAATTCTTAACAAATTCAGTACATACTACATACCAGGGGCGTAGATTACGCGGGGGACGCGGGGGACGTGTCCCCCCCCACTTTTAATATCACGTAAATTCGTCCCCCGCACTTTTTCGGGCAAGTGTGTTCGCATAGAGGTTTTCAAGAGCCGGTGTGAATAAATATAGATTTAAATATTATTATTATTTATTATTACTGTTGTCACCAACCTGGACAGATTTAACCCTGACATTCATTAGCTCCACCCAACAGGAAGTCAGCCATTTTGGATTTTGTGAAAAGGGCATGCAGTGAACTTCTAAATACTCCTCCTTGGGGATTTGTGTGATTGTCATTAAACTTGGTAAACATGATGCCAAGGCAATAGGTATGTTTACATTCACTAATTTTGTTAATCCAAATCAATTCAATATGATTTTAGATTCTGAAATTCTGTTTACATGAACCGTATACATTGCAATTCAATTAACATTTTCGTTCACATGTGCATTCTGTATTCAAACAAAACTTTAAGGGGAACCTCGCCAAAAAACATGTATTTTACCCCCCCCCGAACACGATTTTTACTGGGGGAACCCCCTCGAAATGCAATTGGGCTAGTTTTGAGTAGCAATTGGGCAGGTTTTGTTGTGAAAACCTGGCAACCCTGGCACGCTACACGCAGAAATGTTTGAAAGTGTATATAATGAGCGTACTTCAAAACGGCACATCCAACTCAGTCCGAGCAGCTGAGTCCTTAGCCATCTTCAAGAATCGGCTAAAAACACATCTCTTCCATCTTTATTTCACCCTCTAACCAGTGTTGCCAATTCCGCGGGAAAACCGCAGCTACTTTAACACTGTTAAAAAAAAAAAAATGAACTAACACTTTTTGATTGGAAAATGCCAGATCTACTCCACACAAATTCACACGAATTGAGCTCAGTCAGATTGACTCATGTTTCCTTGAAGGCTTTTCAATCCTATTGAGTCATCACTCAATAAATAACAGATTATTTGGGTGCATGTAAATGTAGCTATTGAGGATGCAAAATTGTGAACAGATCTCAAAGGTTCTTGCCATAGTGAGTGATTAAATAAACGTCAAAACAGGGACACAGGAAGAGCCCAATACAGGTCTATTCTAAGGCCCTGTTTACACCTGGTATTAAGATGAGATTTGGTCGATCTGATCACAAGAAGACAATGCTAAAATACAGGGGTAAATGGGGTATAAAATGTTTTGAGCTTGTCTACTTTCAACCACTTCCAGAGGTAGTCGAAAACACATTAGATCGGATTGCTCTCGTAATGTGAACGCTCATGTGTTTGGTATGAAGGCAAAAAATGTCAATGTTGTCTTACCAGTCCTGATTCTAAAACAAACCCACAGCGTTCAACATTGTTTTGTTGCTATCAGCAGAAATGAAAGCTGCAGCTCTCTGTATCATTTTCCGTTGTCTTCTTTCACGTTCTAATGTACAGTGCGTGATTAGAAGTTGATATTCTGACCATATTTTTTTTCCAAGCACAGTTTACCAATTCCAAACCACATCAGTCTTAATAACTAGTATTAATTTTGTATTTAATAATTTATAAGTGATATATATAATTGTCCATGAAGGCTTGAAGTGAAAAACTTCTCATATTCAGGTGTGCTTAATTATTAAGCAGGTTTTCGTTATAGATAAAATGAGCCAAAAAAAAGAGATTTAACTCAAACTGAAAAGTCAAAAATTATTAAATGCCCATGAGAAATATTCAAAACTAATGCAATAAAGAAATTGCAAGGTTAATGCATGACCACTGGACTGCAAAATGCTCACTGGATCAGAAAACACAGGTGGAGAAGAAAAGACACATGGCAACTGCAAAAGAATTAAGGTGAAGAATTAGGTGTGAAACCATCAGGAACCATTTAGTCTCCAGTTCCACCATTTTCCAAAACTGCAACCTGAGTCTCCAGAAGTTAAAGGTGTCAGGTTCTTAGAGACTTTGCTTGGGTAAAACATCCTAAAAAATGACCCTCACTTAATAAGAATAACATGCTGAAGTGTTGTAAAATAATGTACATGAAGACTGATTTTTATAGGCTTTATAGACAGATAAGTTGAGAGAGACTCTTAAAGGACCAGCACCACATCCTCTTGTACCACTCTTTCAATAATTTTTAGTCCATCTCCTATCCAGAAAAGTCTGTCAAAGTCTGAGAATCTGACACCTTTTACTTCTGGAGACTCAGGTTGCAGTTTTGGAAAATGGTTGAACTGGAGACTAAATGGTTCCTGATGGTTTCACACCTAATTCTGAATTCTTTTACAGTTACCATGTGTCTTTTCTTCCCTGCTTGTTTTTTTCTGACCGTGCTGACCCAATGAGCATTTCGCTGTCCAATGGTCATGCCTTAACTTCGCTAATTCTAGTATTGCATTAGTATTGCATCCTTCTCATGGGCATTTAATAATTTTTGACTTTTCAGTCTGAGTTAAATCTCTTTTTTGGCTCATTTTATCTGCACAAGAAAACCTGCATTATAACTATGCACACCTGAATATAAGGAGTTTTTTTTTTTACTTCCAGCAATTAGATATCACTTATAAACGATTAAATACAAAATTTATATTAGTTATTAAAAATGATGTGGTTTGGAATTGGTAATGTATTTGGAACAAAAATATGATCAGAATATCAACTTGCATAATAATTATGCATGCACTGTAAATTGTGCAAGCTTATTTTGCAATATTATAACGAAAAATCAGAAAAAGCCAATACATGCACTCACCCAAAGACCCTCCCCTCAAAATCACGACAGAAGTGGTTTAAAATGGACTAAGGCCATGTCCACACGTACACGGGTATTTTTATAAACTGAGTTTTTCCTTCTTCCGTTTTAAAAAAAATCTCCGTCCACATGAAAATGAAAACGCATGCTATGAAGCACTGTCAAGAGCATGCCAAGCCAACAGGTGGCGATATAATCTGAACCGTAAAGCCATGTTGGTCAATCAGAAGCCTGAAAAAGTTTCCAGTAGGCGGAGATAACAGCAAAGGCTCCGACGTCACAAGCCAAAAACTCCGGTTTCGCTGTCTACACGATAACACTGCAACCGGAGTTTTTGAAAATCTTCACCCTGGCAGGCGTTTTCAAAAATGTTCGGTTTCAGTGACCTGGTGCTGCGTTTGGCCGAATGGCCAAACCGCGTAGAAAAAGCTGCGGTTTTGAAAATAACCGCGTTCGTGTGGACAGGGCCTAAAAGAGATGGATTAAAACAGCAGGTGTAAATGGGAATGTGTCTCCCTTGTCTACTTCTGATCCGATCGACCAAAACGCATCGTAATACTAGGTGTAAACAGGGCCTAGGTGTATTATCTGATTTAGATCAAATTGGTGTTGTATGTTTGATTATGGGGGCTCATCACATGGATGTGGATATCATCTCATCTGTGGAACTCATGATAATGTTTATTCACCGGAATGCCTTTAAAGGGGGAACAGCGGGCACTTTTCCCACAGGCTTGGGGCCAACTGAAGGGGGCATCATCACCCTAAGCCCCCCACCAGTGGGTTTGGGCTGTGCTCCACGAGCAGGGCTGAGAGGAAGAGGCCTCTGGGGGGGTGTGGATGGGGGTCTAGGCTGTTGTTCTGATACCATCTGTATGAGGACAGGAAAAAGAAGCGAATAAGAATTTGAGGTGCGCTTTGTTCAGGATTTCTGGCAGCGTGTACACAGATTGTTTCAATACAGATTAAAACAGGTGTTTCAAGCAGCATTTCATTTGATGAGATTGTGACCTACTTTGGCTCCCACAGTGATTTTGATTAAACCAAAAGAATATGAGTACACTGAATTCTCACCAGTGGTGAGCGTGATGGGTTGAGGGGGAGAGGCTTCTTGGGAGGACTGAGTTTCTGAGGTGATGCTACAGATTTGGGTGTGCTGGGTGAGTTGGGCGGCTTGCTGATAGGCGGAGGAGGTCGAGGTCCTTCGATGTTGCTCAGTGATGGCGATGGAGCCGGTCGGAGCGGACGGACGATATTGACTGGCTGAGTACCGTTGGAAGCTGGGTTTGGCCTCAGAGGAAGCAACTCTTTGCTGGTGTGAGGTAGCTTGAGAGGGGAAAAAAGGAAAGGGATGGGATATTGGTGATGCTCCATGATTGGAAAATTCAAGTACACATATTAAGTCAAACTAAACACATACTAAACAAACCCCATTATAGATATCTAACTGAAAAAAAATGCACTTCAAAGGACTAATGTTTTGACAGAGGTGATGGGGGTCATAAAACTGATGAATGCTAGTGAAAAATCTAAATATATACAGACGTTTTTCCTGAACGCGGAAGTCACGCCTGACTCTTAACTGGAAGGATGCTTTGCATTTCCGGTCTCCAGTGTTTCTAGTCAAATTAGCGTATATTCCGAGCTGATAATCTAATGTTAAACCTACCTATTAAAATGTTTTTAAGAAGCACATGGCTCCATAGCGCCATCACTTTACAGTGTCGCGATGACTGTCATTTGTCAGTGCCTCACTCCTCAAAGTTTAATGAGTGTGTAGATTACACAAAGCTGCCGACGTTAGCTACATTAAAAACAGATGGGCGCTATTTGAATGGGTTCCTATGGAGACCGGAACAGAAGAGCATCCAATCGGAAGTTAGAATTCGTAATGGCAGCGCTCATCGTTTACTCAGGAAAAAGGTCTATAGAAATGAATACTTTTATTGAGCAAGGATGCATTAAACTGATCAAAAATCACAGTAAAGATGTACAAATAATTTCTATTTCAAACAAATGCTGCCCTTTCTGTTCATTAAGTAATTAACATTGATAATAGCAAGAAATGTTACACTAAAACTGTACCTAAATATGTTCCTGTGGCTCAGTGGTAGAGCATTGCGTTAGAAGCGCAAAGGTTGTGGGTTTGATTCCCAGGGAACACACATACTGGTAAAAAAAAATGTATACCCTGAATGCACTGTAAGTCGCTTTGGATAAAAGTGTCTGCTAAATGCATAAATTATTATTATAAATTATAAAGCTGCAAATATGCCTGCTGAAAATACAGCTTTGCCAATCAATTACATTTCAGATATTAATATAGATATTAAAATATAAAAACTGTTACTATTTTTTTTTACTGTATTTTTGATCAATTAAATGCAGCCTTGGTGATCAAAAGAGACTTAAAACATTAAAATATTTTACCAATCCCCCAAATATGTACAGTATAATGGCATGCAAAGTTCTATATCCCATTAAAGATTACATATGAAAGTGTTCTCTCTGTATTTTGATATGACTAAAGCATACCTTGAGATTACCACTTCTGTTGGAGGGTGCCACCACCTTCAGATGGAAAGCATGGTTTAGGTGGCCATTCTTCCCCTTTTCAACAGAGCCCTCATTTCTGAAAACAAATGAAAACAAATAGAAATGGTTTATGGAAATGAATAGACTTTAAGGAAATAGACAAACATTGTGTTTTTTATCAGTTTGTTAAAGCACAAGATTTCAGAGTTTCAGTATGTACCATAATAATACCATAATTTACTAAGCATGCTATTCAAAAGTAGGCTGAATAATGAACATTTTAAGAGCATGTGTGTATGTTCGTACAGTGACATCAGAAAGCATTCAGACCGCTTTGGAGAGTATTCATAGTTCAGGACAGACCGAATGATTTATTGTATTTGACAATATACCAAAAGGACAAAGTGAACATGGGATTTATTATGTATGTATGAAAAAATCTGAAATCTATTATTTGCATTAGTATTCAGACCCTGTGTAGCTGTGCATGCTGTGTGGCAGTGATGACAGCAGGAGGTCTTCTTGGGTGTGATTTGCACACCTGGATTTTTTTCCTCCTTCGTCCTTGCAGATCCCTTCAAACTTTGTCAGCTTGGTTGTGAGTAGTTTGTCGACAGTATTTCTATGGGGTCATTTGAGCTGGAACACTCAAGGACATTATTTGTCCCAAGGCCAATCCAGGATCATCTTGGCTTTGTGCTCCAGGTCATTCTGACACTGAATGAAGAATCTTTTCTCTTGACAGAGGTTGTGTGCAGGTTTTCTGCAAGGATCACTCTATATTTGGCTCTATTCAACCTCTGTCATCTTGCCTGCCAATCCTAAAGCCTGTTGCTGAGAATAACGCTTCACTGCAGCTGCGCTTAGTAGTCAAATAAAATTATTACAAGCAGATCTTTATCAGGTGCAGCTATTTTAATAAAAAAGAGAGAATTTTTTTGTCTAACATTGAGCGTGCACAAAGATTATTTTCTAAATTTAATTTAGTTGTTAGCCAATATGAGTTTTCCCAAAATACATGGGAAATACTCTGAATTGCAACCGTGCCTGTCATATGCCATCATCGCTACTCTGTTTGGAAGTGGTAGACCTCTGCTTTTTTGGCTTTTTATTCTACACAGATTTTTCCTAACTGACACTGATGCAAAACAGATTTAAGCATATCCATTTGAAGCTGCAGGAGATATTCTGGGATTTAAAGTCTTACATGAATTGCCTTAAAGCGACTGTTCTCCAAAAAAATTTACATTTTTATATCATTTATTCACCCTCACCCTTCCAAGCCTGTAAGACTTATTTCTTTCTTCTGTGGAACATAAAAGACAATATTTTATAGAATGTTGGGAACTAAATGGTTTTGGTGAATATTGATTTCTATTGTATAAACAAAAAAAACAAAGCCACTTCTTAAAACATCTTCTTTTATGTTACACAGAAGAAATAAAGAAAGGCATGCATGTTTGGAGTGACAGAAGAGTTAGAAAATTATTACAGAATCTTCATTTTTGGGTGCAAGAGTTGATAAGTTGAAACCTTGCTGTTAGCAGATGTATATCAGTAATTGTGGTGCATTAGGTTGCATTTAATTTAGTGAGAACTAAGAGAGTTCAAATGTGAGACCCTACGTGCTGGGAATCGCTCTGTGCCAAATGCGACCTGGATTGCCACTGACTAGAAGAAAGGATAATACTGTACCTAATCTGACTAACTTTTAATGTTTTAATGACTGGGGAGGATTCAGAGTGAAGTAACCTCAGTTATCTCACTGCAGCTGCTGTTTTCAGCAAAAGTGAAGAGAGACATAATTAGATTTCAAAGGATACTGACAGCTGAACTAATCGCATATTTTTAGAGGGCCTCAGATGAAAGACAGGGGGCTCTTGCACTCTGTAGAACAGCTACTATTATTTCTTATAAAAGTCCTTTATAAAGCAGGTCACAAAACAATTGTTTGAAACTATCTGACAAAGCAAAATGTGTCTCTGAAATACCTGACTGATAGTGTTTGAAATAATAAAAAAAAAGAACTGAAAAGAAAATTAAAAACAACTCAGCTATAGATAAGGGCGGGGGGGGGGGTTGGTCACTGAGTTAATACTATCTAAGGGGCCAGACAAATGTTTAGAACAGTGCAAATACAGACACCATTAGAAACTCATAGTTCAGCATCACACACCGTGATATGGGTTCAAATGAGAGCCCATTTCTCTCCAAAACGGTGCCAGTTTTAGCGTTTTGCAATAAAGAAATAAGAATAACTAAACTTGATAATTTGTTACAATTTTAACATAAATGCACATTGTTCTAGAAGGATGGCATCATGCCATACCTTTTACACATTTACTCGAATTGTTATGCTGATAATGATAATACAATGGAAAACAAACACACCCACGCATGTCTCTTTGCTGAGGTCTCTTTGGCGGTCTCGGTGAATCAGCAGCATCCACAACTGAATGGAACAAAAAGTGTTGAACTTGAAAATTGTTTATGCGCGAGTGCACTTGCTAAATGTGACCCCAAAGTCAATAGCAAGGATAAGTCTTCTTTTTTTGTGATTAAAATCAATGTGTTTATTATATAAATATTCTATCAACAGTCTACTTCTCTCAAATTTAAGGCTGATGTTTATTTATCAATGTAGAGTAACGTATATATATTTTTCAATTATAAGTTATAGGCATAACATAAATAGTCATTCTGAAGAAAGCAATTCAAGTCCTGCTTCAAACAAAGCCAAACAGGATTTAAATGTGTCCAAGGTGTGTGCTTCCTCACCTAACGTGAGTTACAAACCATCAAAAATGTTGATATTAGCTATAAAATCACGGGCTCCAGCAACAGAGACAGTTTGTTATCCTTGAGAAATATCCTTGTGGAAGACGGATGGGCTTGAGGACACAAAGAATATGCTGTTGTCTCTTTTATTTCTAGAAATATAAGAAATAAAAACTCTAGGAATCAGTCATACCACAAATTTGCATGAAGAAGATAATATTGTGCTGAACCACTCAGCATGCCACAGGTGGTACTTCTCAATGGCGAAATTGTTTATGCGCGAGTGTACTTGCTAAATGAAGGCGGATTGTACAAAATGGATTAAAAAAATTTAAATAATAATTTTTAAAAAACGTTACGCGAGAGAGAGACGAGGCAGCGCAGATCGCGCGTCTCATAAGTGAGTGGGAATTTACCGAACGTGGCACTTGCGGGAGTTAACAGTGTATGCAATACCCGCAACCTCACACCAAATTTTAGGCCGTGTAGATAGGCAAGCATAGCCTATATACAAATCATTTAGTAAGCAGAAATCCGAAATTTACCTCAACATATTAAGTTAGAGGAAGTTGCGACTGAATTTATGCTTGAAGAATGCGCTTCCAGCAGCCGTGATAAACAGTTGGCGGTTAAAGTTTTCTATGCACAATTTGATTTGATGAAAGTCACGAGACCTATTACTATCTCTCTATCCAATCACGTTGATGGATAAAAATAAAATTAAAATAAGCATGTAACGACCACAAACGGAGGAAAATAGCGGAGTACAAGTACCGATACATCACTTAAAATGTACTCAAGTAAAAGTAAAAGTACACAATTTTTAAACTACTCAAAAAAAGTACAATTACTGATAAAAACTACTTAATTACTGTAACGTGAGTATTTGTAATTCGTTACTTCACACCCCTGGTTATAGGCATAACATAAATAGTCATTCTGAAGAAAGCAATTCAAGTCCTGCTTCAAACAAAGCCAAACAGGATTTAAATGTGTCCAAGGTGTGTGCTTCCTCACCTAACGTGAGTTAAAAACCATCAAAAATGTTGATATTAGCTATAAAATCACGGGCTCCAGCAACAGAGACAGTTTGTTATCCTTGAGAAATATCCTTGTGGAAGACGGATGGGCTTGAGGACACAAAGAATATGCTGTTGTCTCTTTTATTTCTAGAAATATAAGAAATAAAAACTCTAGGAATCAGTCATACCACAAATTTGCATGAAGAAGATAATATTGTGCTGAACCACTCAGCATGCCACAGGTGGTACTTCTCAATGGCGTTCGAAATTGCTCACTTCAGTTCAGTTATTCTCTCACTCACGGCATGCATTCAATGGGTCCCTCCTGGAACCAAATACCAATTTACCTAAACAGCCAGTTTTAAGATGAATGGCTCAAAATGTCTTCCATCTGACAACACCGAAGCCTTGACTGGCCAGACATGTTTTTTTTTTTTTTTTAATGGATACAATCTCAAACAACTAATAAAGTTCTTTCATAACTTCAAAGACCTTTTTTAGGTTTTTGCTCTGCCTTGCAGCATGTACAAATACATACTGGTGTACCTTTCTAAAATCACGTCCGATCAAATGAATTTGCATAATGGGACTAAAAATAAATTCTGGAGATGATCAAAAGACACAGGACACATCTGAGCTCAATACAAGGTCTGAGATTTTAGCTTCCTGCTATTAATCCATTCAAACTTCTATGAACCCATTTTCACATTGCAACTGTGGTGGTTTGTTTGTAAATGGACATGCATACATTTTTTAACAAAACAGTGAAAGGGTCTGAACACTTTGTAAAGGCACTGCGTATGTGTGTGTGTGTGTGTGTGTGTTGCTACAGTAATACCTGCTGGCTTTGCTCTTCTCTCTCTGTGTTCTCCACTTGTGGTAGTAGGAGCTTTTTATCTTGATGCAGTAGAAGGCAATAAGTACAGCAGGGAGAAGCACTAGAAAAGCAAAGAACAGCCCAACAACCAATCCCACCTGACCTGAGGACAGATATAGAACATACAGCGACTGTTAGACAAGGGTCAACAGCAAACACAAAAAGTGCTTGCCAAATATCTGCCACTCTGAATAATAGATCTTGTGTGCACTACATTCACTCTGTACTATAATAATGTCTATGGCTATGTTCAGAATAGCAAACTACCATACTTTTTTCTCTAGCATACCACTTTAAAGCAGCATCTAGCAAATGAATAGAACGCCTGAATGACCTACTACATTTCTAAAACGTGCAACACAAAACCAGTGGACACTCTCACTCGCAATGCAATGCAACTTGACCTTCTATTTCCAGTGTGACTCGTGAATGGGAAGGAATATTAACTGTGTCTTTTAATTTTAAGTTAAGCCATTTTTACACAAAATTGTCTCACTTTTTTATGTTTTTGAAGTCTTTTATGCTCACCAAGGCTACATTTAATTGAGAAAAAATACAGTAAAAACAGTTATATTGTGCAATATCATTAAAATTTAAAAGAAGTGTTTTTTTTATTTTAATATGATTTGAAATATAATTTATTACTGTGATGGCAAAGCTGAATTTTCAGCTGTCATTACTGCAGTATCACATTACACTTTATAAATCATTCTACAGTGCTGATTTGGTGCTCATGAAACATTTCTTATTATTATTATCAGTATTAAAAATGATTGTGCTCCTTATTTTTGTGGAATTATTTTTGTGAATAGAAAGAACAACATCTGTTTAAAATATTTTTTTCTATAGCAATGTAAAAGTCATTACTGTCACTTTTGAATTTAATAGGCACTGTATGTATGAAAGTATTAATTTCTTTAAAAAATTCTTACTGACCCTTTTTGGATGGTAGTGTATGTAGTGGTCATGTGACTATACTATTTATTGAAATATTTAGCATATTTTTCATCCTATTTAGCATCCTATTTAAAAAAAATACTAGGCAGTATACTGTGTATGCATTAAAAAGTATTCTAGTATTCAATTTAGAACAAAAGGTTTTGCAGATACAGTCATACGTAAATGAAATGAGGGAATAATAAATGCAGGTAACACTTGAGATTAGGGAACACCTATTCATTATTAACTACAAGTTTTCCCTCAATAAACTCCTAATTTTCTGCTTATTGTTAGTAACTAAGGTACAGAAGGGTTGAGAAGGGTTAAGAGTAGAGATCGACCGATATATCGATTTACCGATATTTTTCCCGATATTTAAGCATTTTACAATAATTGGATATCGGTTTTGTAATATCAGATTCACCGATAAACGCCGCCATCTTGTGGATGTTTTGAGAATTTTGCGCAGGATCACCATTGCAGCGCGTCTGAGGGGAAACAAGACAACAACAGCGTGCACAGGTACATGATTTGCTGTAGTTAGTAAACTTTATTTAACATAACAGCCATTATTACAAATGAGATGTATTACATAAATGCCTGATATGCAGTTTATGCAGCTTGGCTCGAAGAAATAGAGACGAACTCACGGTCAAGTCCTGTCCCAATAAAGACGTATCTTTGCGTGAATTAAATAATATGCAGCCATGAATGGGTGCATGTTGGAAATAAAAGTGCTGAATTAAAGGGGTCATATGATGCTTTTTTAAAGATCATTATTTTGTGTATTTGGTGTAACAGAAAGGATCACCATTGCAGCGCATCTGAGGGGAAACAAGACAACAACAACGGCGTGCACAGGTACTTGATTTACTGTAGTTAGTAAACTTTATTTAACATAACAGCCATTAATGCACAAATTAGATGTATTACATAAATGCCTGATATGCAGTTTATGCAGCTTGGCTCGAAGAAATAGAGACGAACTCACGGAGTCACGTAAGATAATCCGTCAAGTCCTGTCCCAATAAAGACGTAACTTTGCATTAATTAAATAATACAGCCATGAATGAGCGCATGTTGGAAATAAAAACGCTAAATTTAATTCTCTGTCTATTGTCTATACTCATCATTAGTCTCGTGAAGAAAATCCACATAATATTGCTGTTCACTCAGCAGATTGATGCTCAGGAAATGCTCCAGCACGGCCACCGCATGTAACTTTTAACAAGATTCACTTGTTTAAAACACCCTAAATTGTATTAACATTTACTATATAACCATTATTTCGCTAATAAACATCTAAATAGATACAACTCTATGGAAATTAATTATTTATTATCTCCACGAGTGATCGCAGTTTGAGTATAGTTCTGTGTAAATGCATAGATAAACTGTGCTGTCAGCAGGCATTTCATAATCTAGAACGACAAAAACATTATTATTAATTCTGATATAACATGCCAGTTGAGAAATGCAATAAAATACGATGTTTTGTTTGTTATATTCCAATATTCCGGAGAATATTATTCAGTGAATTAACATTATCCAGTGAATTATTCTTCACTCTTTAGCCTATTAAACATCTTATAAACCTACTAAAACTGTAGTTTAAAATGAAGTTGATATGACTCCTTTCCTTTATTTATTTTCTCCATTTGAAAACATTAGACCTTCTACATTTATTTTGCTTATTGTTAATATTAGTGTTGCTGCTGATGCTTTAAATAAAATGTTTTTTTATTGTTGTAATGTGAAGATTAAATTTAACATGAAAGACTGCTAATTTTCAACACTTTTTTAAGATGACTGAAAGGAGGAGAAACCAAAGTGAAGTATGGACTTACTTCACTCAGTCATTTATTTACTTTATAACAGTAAATAAATATCGGTTCTGCGTATCGGTTATCGGGCACATAAACATGCAAATAATTGGTATCGGTATCGGTTATAAAATATCAATATCGGTCGATCACTTGTTAAGAGATCTGGTCATGCAGAATAAGGCATTAATATGTGCTTTATAAGTAAATAAACAGGTAATGTGTTAGTAATTCGCACACAAATAAGAAACTAGTTAATAGGGAATAGTGTTCCCTTATCTAAAGTGTTACCTAAATCCATAAATTCTTAGATTTGCTCTTGAAAAGTTTCAACAAGCAAAGATATCATTGGCTTGAGTACTGGAAAGAAAAGCTGGACGGTACAGATTAATGGTCAAGGTAACATCTGATAAGAGGTGTGAGGAAGAAAGGGAAAGTGAGGAAGAGGGAGAGAGAGAGAGAGCAGACGAGTGATAAAATCTATAAAATGGATTAAAGAATAGGAGAGAAATAAGTGAGAGCAGAGGCACATGTGCACTGAAAGCTGAAGGTGAACTCACTGTCATACTGCACAGGTCCACTGTCCACACTTCCCCCAAGTCCTGGTTTCTCACAGAAGGGGGGAGCCCACCCACGGTTGCAGTGGCAGTTCCCATTACTGTTACACACCTGCATGCAAAACAACACCACACATAGGAATTAGTGCGAATGAGAATTTCCATCTGGAAGGTTGGGGTGTAACTTTCACACGCCTTTTGCACTGCAACTGTTTGACAATAAATGAAAGTTCATCCTACAGGAACGGAAATCCTGTCAGCATTCACTTTTCCTCATGAATTTTCGGTTGAAGTACACCACAAACAACTGCTCACAATTGTTTGGTTTCAATATACATTTGTTGAGTTTTTTTTAATCGCACGCAGCCATTTACCTATCCTCACTTTCATTGCTACCATTGCAGGGAACGTTTTCCGTCACGTCTTTTAGAGTATAGGGCAAATACAGAATATACCGCCTTTCATCTTTAATGGAATTTCTTTTAACAGAATATTTTACATGCTTCAATCTAACCCAGAGGCAAGACAGGAACAGTGGAAAGGAGAGAAAATGTGCTGTGTGCAAATAGCACGATCACTCACTTTATTCTCCATCCACACTTGCCTAAACCATACAATCAATATGAATCAAATGATAATGCAAATGGATAATAAAAAGGCAGTTTCTGAATCTCTAATCTCCCCTCAAAGACCTGGCGTATTTGGCTGCCCTTTTGAAAAGCGACTGGGTAAATAAGCAAGAAATAAAAGAAAAGCTGACAAAAGAGAGAGACAGAGGGAGGGCAAAGGGATTAGGAAAGACAGAATTTGAGTTTATACGGCTTGGAGGCTGTTTACGACTATTTGACCATAAAATACACAAATCAAATGCTATAGCTCTGCTAATATAAGAAAAGCATTGGTTTTTATTAGAGGCGGTATGTGTCGGGAAATGAGCGACCCAGAGGGCGGTTTTAAAGGATTTAGAGGTGTGAAATCCACAATGAGTCAGTCTGGGTTAAAGATGAACTCAAAGGGAGAAGGAATACTAAGACATAGCCTTTATTTAGACATAATTTAGGAGAAGTGCTTGCATGATTAATTTAAAAAAAAACTTTTTTTGTATAAATAGTGTCTTCCAGTAGCTGCAGCACTGACAATGTTAAATAACAAATATTGTCAGCACCAAATATTAAGCAAATAATCATTTTCTTAATCAGTTTTTTTTCAGTACAATATCTAAATACCCTTAAAACAAACTAAGCAAATGAAGCTAAACTGCATAAAATTTTAAGACTTTTTAAAAATATAAATATATAATTGTATTTATTTTTTATTCAAAGAGCAACACTTTTTTAAAGAATAAACTTCACTACACTGAAAATATTTACTGCTAGCAAATTTCACAAATAATTACAAAGATATGGCAAGTGACACTGCATAAAACATGAAAAGTTCCACATTTTTGAAATATGTTTTCTTATCTATAGTAAAGGTCTAATTAATAATATAGTTAAAATTATAGTTATTAATATAATATATTATATAATGTAGTTATAATGTTAAATAACAAATATTGTCAGCACCAAATATTAAGCAAATAATAATTTTCTTAATCAGTTTTTTTTCAGTACAATATCTAAATACCCTTAAAACAAACTAAGCAAATGAAGCTAAACTGCATAAATTTTAAGACTTTTTAAAAATATAAATATATAATTGTATTTATTTTTTATTCAAAGAGCAACATTTTTTAAAGAATAAACTTCACTACACTGAAAATATTTACTGCTAGCAAATTTCACAAATAATTACAAAGATATGGCAAGTGACACTGCATAAAACATGAAAAGTTCCACATTTTTGAAATATGTTTTCTTATCTATAGTAAAGGTCTAATTAATAATATAGTTAAAATTATAGTTATTAATATAATATATTATATAATGTAGTTATTAATATAATATAGTTCATATAATAAAAATATAGTTAACGTTTATCAGTTGTTGTTTTATAATGACTGCTTACCCCATGCCCATGGCAATGAGCGATGCAGATGTGTAACTCAGTAAAAGATGCATTTTGACATCGTCGATCTTTGCACACCTGAAGGCAAGTAACAAGAGAATAAATCAACTCTTCAATGCAAAACATAAAATACTGCTTTTATTGAGACACTTATTTTTGAGACACATCTCCACTTGATTAGTACAGATGTTGTTTAATAAATGTCTCATCTTAAATAAAAAAATGTAAAAAAAAACTTGCCTTCCCCTCTCCACACTTGGTGCCCGTCATGACCAGTCCAGGGTCTGGAAGATCGCCCTGCCCATCTTGGGTGCTGTAAACATATGTGCCCCGGCACTTCACCTCAATGCCGTCTGTGCGGATAGTGGTGTCTATGGACACAGCATTGGTGCCCTTTGGTTTCTTGGCAGCACTGTGGCACTGTATCTTACCACATTTGGCATCACTGTTGGGATATTTGATATGAGAGATGGAAAGTCATGAGGGATCACTAGTCATCTTTGCTCACAGCTATTCAGCATAAATACATCTATGAGGAAAGCAAATTAAATAATAATAGGATGAAAAATAATATATCATCTAAAAATCATATTTGTTTTGAGAATGATGAATAAGCAGAAAAAAATTGTCTAACTTTGGAAAAGTTTGAAAAAGTACTGAGTCTGCAGTGCTGTCCTTATAAACTTATTTGAACTAGTTTGTTCATTTTCGCTCTCTCTCTCTTTTAAATATATTGGCTTGTTCTTTATAATGTATTAGTTTGTTCTTTATAATATATAGTTGTAGTCACAAGAGAATTAATTGTGCTGTAACAGTTTTAAAGAAGTCCAAGACCAAATTGCTGTTTGCAGAGATTTCAGATTTCACTTCAGGTCGGCAAGTTCTTTGACATAAACCACATACTATTGCTTATATGCCTGGTTGAAATAACGAAATACCACCTTACCTTTTCTCACACTTTACGTAGTTTCCATGACTGTCCTTGCCACAGTTTCCAAAGGCATTCCCTGCTGCATTCACATCCTGAAAACAGGCGTCATGTGCCGGCTGCGCACCTGGACAAATTTAGTTTACTCAGTTAAACCTACATTACCTCTGAGAAATGTAAATTACAGTTTGAGACTCATAGTGTGAACATGGATCTGCTGGCTTCATGCCACCAGCTAATATTTGGTTAGGGATACTTTTATTCAATTGAAGCTGAAGTGTTGGTTTTAAGTGACTAAAAGTTTTTAAAACGTGTTTATAATACATAACACCACAATTTTATTTTATTCGACCATGCCATGTTAGAAATAATCCATTGATTACACAAAATCCAGTCCAGTGAAACATTAACTGCTCAATTAAAATGAGTGAATATGATAATATCACTTACACACAGTGAACATCAAACATGTCAACACCCCCTCACCCCACAAATGACAAAGTACGTCTGCTGTGATCTGTGTCTGTTTGACAGCCAAAGAGCCTGACTGGACATGAGCCCAGAACACACTGGAGGTGTACAGCCAAATGCCATGAGCTCTCACTACATAATCCACATAAAGCAGTATTTGATCATTAGTGCTGACTAAACACTGAAAGGGTCAATTAGGATTCAAAAACTTTTTCTGGAAGGGACATTTAGCAAAGAAGTACCATAATATTACCATGGTACCATGTTAGTACCATACATAAAAAAAAAAAAAAAATCTTTAAATTAGCTTGGAATACAATGTAATTACAATGGTATATGATGAACGTAATATAAGTCATGCAGCATGTAATATAGTACATGCAGATATACAGTACTATTGTTCAAAATATTTTTTCGTGTTATTGAAATAAGTCTCTTGCGCTGCATTTATGTGATCAAAAATACAGTAGCACAATAATATTGTAAAACTATTATTCCAATTTAAAATATGTTTTCTATTTTAGTACAGTTTAAAATGTAATTTATTCCTGTGATGACAAAGCTGAATTTTCAGCAGCCATTTCTCCAGTCTTCAGTGTCACATGATCCTTGATGGTGCTTAAGAAACATTTCTTATTATTATCAATGTTAAAACAGTTGCTTATCAATGTTGCTTAATATTTTTGTGGAAACTGATTTTTTTCAGGATTCTGTGATAAATAGAAAGCTGTTCAAAAGAACATTTATTTGAAATAGAAATATTTCGAAACATTATAAATGTCTTCACTGTCACTTTTGATCAATTTAATGCATTCTTGCTAAATAAAATAACGTATCATAGTAACACAATAACTTCTGAACTGGATCCTACAAATGTAATTTTCCTGCAAACTAAAGACACGGCCAGACAGCACGCAGCTTACCATAACCCCACAGCTGCAGGCACTGCTGTTCATGGGTCAGACACATGCCATTATAGCAGTAGGCACGGCCATGCTGACACAATGACCCATCCAGGAGGTAAACGTTAGAGGGGCAGTAGGGAGAACCTCCTGTGCAGTATTCCGGCAGATCACAGGTACCGGCTGCTCCACGGCACATGGTGCCGGCCTGCTTCAGCTGTGGGCAGAGGGCACGGTAAGGAGACTGGAGGACTTTGATGAAAGAAAAAGAGAGCAGGTGGTGGGCAAACTACAGAGAAACAGTGGATATGAAACTGTGACGCCTGGTGCTTCTCTAGAATGTAGATACACAGACAAGGCCTTCACTATTTTGAGCAACACATCAAATAAATAAATATACACTTTACAATAAGGTCATATTAGATAGCATTAGTTAAAGCAGCACTATGTAACTTTTGGCACTCTAGCGGTTAATAAACAGAACTGCACACATCCCGCGGAAGAACATTCCAACCGGAGCTACTTCTCTAAGTTTATGTCTATGGCGATTCACGCAGGTATGTGTTACTCCGCAGCGGTGACGACCCGACCAGGCTACAATAGTCCAAATATAAGTACTTATTATAAGTGTACCGTAGTGATACGGAATAAGACAAAAACGCGGTTTGGAAGATGAATTCATGATGTACTCGCTCATTATATACATTTAGCAAATTTTATACACAGAAAAAGTTACATAGTGCTGCTTTAATGCATTAACTAACACTAATTAACAATGAGTAATATATTTGTTACTGTATTTATTCATTGTTCATGTAAGTGAATAATTAGTAAAACATCTACTGTAATACAATGACATATGTTGATTACAAAAATGCAATTTCTTCGGAATACACAGCTAATTTGCAATGGTTTCAATAGGGAAAGATGCTTTTTGCGGCCAGGTGGTGTAGTTATGACTTCTACCAGCAGGGGTTAACAGGGACAGGCTAACTCTCTAAGCCTTGACCACTTGTATGACAGATATATAGTTAGGCACCTTGCAGTCCTCACAGCAGACCCCATGGGCACACTGTGCATCCACCTTCAAAGTGCAATTGCTGGGGTGACAGCAATCATTGGTGCACTCCTGCGGGAGACAGAAAACACACACACACACACACACACACATAAGGTACTTCAGATAAAGGCTACCAAAGCAAATCAACATATGGCCCTCAACTTACATGGTCAGCCACTTAGAGCAAGTTGTGAAAACACAATAAATACAGTGTATATATACATATATGCATAATGTATGTACTGTATACACACACACTCACAGTGTCTGTTTGCACACTATGATTAAAGTGCGGAAAAGATAAATCGAGAAGAGAAATTGCACAGGACGTTAGATGCATATAAAAATGTCTGACATGTATGATACTGATATATACAGCGTGGAGGCGTCTGACGGCCAGTAATTATACCGTACAGCTGAAAATGAATAGGGGAAGGGGAGGAAGTGTGTGTGTGGTGTTTTAGGGTGTTTAATGAGGAGGAAACATCCACAACACACATATACACTCTGTCAAACACACACACACACACACTCTCTCTCTCTCGGTCTCACATAAACACACACGGCAACCTCTATTCTGCTTGATATGGTTTCAGAGCATCAAGTGCGACTGACAGCTATGATTATTGCACTAGAAATAAATAAATGGTGTGATTCAGTGACTATAATGAAAAAACACATGCGTACATGACAGGCTTACACTATCAAATCTATTTTTGTGTATTCATGGAAGTAGAGAGGGCCGGCAGATGATGGTTTGGATTAAAGGTTAGAACAAAAGTGTATGATAACAGCTCTCAGTTCAGTGCTGAAACCTAGCTTTTTCTGTCAGGTGATAGTTGAGGTGTTGTTTCATTGAATATGGTATTGGCAGCAGGTAAAATCCAGAACAGTAGTCCAGGTGTTTATGTATTGACTAGGAGTTACAGACGCTACCTCAGTCTACCTGCACCAGATGGCAAATCACCCAGCCATTATATGCACACTGACAGCCTGTCAAACACGGCTTTGCAGCAAGGTGGGACGCTCCTCTTTCTCTACAGGCATGCAAGCAAACATAAAAACGCATACGCTTTCATCTTTCACGCTTTGTTACGGCACAGTTTTCCTTCTGTAGTTCAACTATTTATGTTCTAACACTTGTGTTTGGACCTCCCATGTGATAAAAACAAAACTTTTTGCTGGTTAGGCAAAGCTCTTCACAATAAAAATGATACAAAAAATACACTGCATAAATAATATCAAGTATTCCATGAATAAATAATAAACGCATAAAAATGAGGCATAATCAATGGTAATCCATATTAACTATCACATTTTGATTTATTACATGTACTTCATACCCACTACTGTTCTTGGAAAAATGACTAATTCATGATTGGTCTGATTCAATATTCTCTAAATCAATAAGTAATTCCATTCAATAATTAATTTAGGCACAAATCACCTCTGGTTCTCCACAGTCACACTCCTCCCCTTCCTCTACAAAGCCGTTTCCACACCTCTTGCCACCGACCAGATCCTTCATGTTGGGCATGTTGAACAGGCACATTCCTCCTCCCTTCTGGAAGTAGTTGTCCAAGTCTTTTTTGCTACAGCGGCTGAAAACTTTTGGAAAGGGGTGCCTGTAGAGACCATTTTAGAAAGGGATACATGTCATTTTTATGCATCAAAATGATTGAAAACAAAAGAGGCACTAGTAGAAATAAGATGGAAAACTTACAATTTGTTAAACAACTACAGTTAGCCATAGACACTGAGGCAGATGCAGCTGAACATCGGTTTATAATGAATCCAGTAACATAATTATCATGAAAATAAGGTCTTGATTTCAAATGAAAAGAGTAGTGAAATTTCCCAAACTGTTTTTCACAAGTAAAAAACACTTTCCTCCTCTCTATGCCAAGTGATCTCTTCTGAACTTCTGTCTTACCTTTCCTCTACTGCACCAGAAGCAAGGGGTCACTTAACCCACTTAATCTCAATTAAGCTGATGTGCTTAACAAATGATGTGCTTATGTCAGCCACTTTTGATATCATGCTAGCAGCTGTATTTTTATATTTTTATCCAGAAAAAGGCTTTTTTCTGTTTTATGTCTTACTTAGTTCTTACCCAGTTAGCTGAAAAACTGCTGAACCCTTAACACTGGGGTTCCACAGGGCTCAGTGCTGGGCACCCTGCTGTCCTCCATTTATACCAGATCTCTCAGAACATTTCTCCAACTCCATTTAACTACTGGTGTGCTGACAACACCTGACACATCATGTTTCCCCTTCTGTCCGTAAATGAGTGTTCTCAGAATGGATCTGAGTGTGTCTCTGTGACATGCCTCTTTCTTCTAGAGAATTTTTATATATATATACATGTGATATTTGCTCCTGAGACTACCATGGAATGCCATCATAGATGGCGCCATATCAAAATTTATGTACAAGATATTCATGGTATCTTGTTTACTTGCTACCTTCTCAGGTATCACACAAACAATTGTTTCCTAGAACATTTTCTATAAACTAGATTGCAACTGGTGATTTCAGCCAGCTTAAGGCAGTTTTGTGTGTAATATACAATAGTATGCAATTATTTCATTAAAAAAAAAATATATATATTTAGAAATATCTTTACAAGTTTTCTATTTCAGTATATTTTTTAAAATGTATTTTATTCCTGTGATTGCAAAGCTGAATCAGCAGTCATTACTGCAGTCTTCAGTGTAACATGATCCTTCAGAAATAATTTTAATATGCTGCTTTGGTTCTGAAGAAACATTTCTTATTATTATCAATGTTGAAAACAGTTGTGATGCTTAATATTTTTGTGAAAACTGTGATATATTTGTTTCAGCATTTTTTAGGACAAAGAATTGCATTTAATTGAAACAGAAATATGTTGAAACATTATAAATGTATTTACTGTCACTTTTGATGAATTGTAATGTGTCCTTGCTGAATAAAAGTACTAATTTCATTCAAGAAAAAATAAACCAATCTTACTGACCCCAAACATTTGAACGGTAGTGCACATGAGATGGTCAGTGAATGGTCTGTAGGCATACAATCTGAAGTGGAGATTAAAATGCTTGACTCATCCTTAGGTACTTACCATTAGCAACTAATTATGTACTTGTACAGTAGCATCCTGTCTATATATTAGTTTAATAGTGACACAATTAGAAGTTAAAATGATTTGCAAGTGCTCCAGGGTTCTTTGCGTAATTAGCATGCTTTTGTAAGTACCGTGATTTATGTTCTGCATTGTTGGTTATTTATAAAAGGAAGCCTCTGCTAAAGGCATCAATGCAATGCAAATGTAGAAGTCTTTACCCTGTAGCTGCCGCCATGACACATCCACCCTGCTCCGCAGTGGCCTCCACACAACAGCCCTCATGGTCATGGCTCATGCCAAAGTTATGGCCGATCTCATGTGCCATGGTGGCAGCTGCCCCAATGGGCAATTCAGAATGGTCCTGGAAGAGAAGATCATTTAATCTACCAGCCATAACAAACATCACAATAAATGAAAAAGAAGTTCAAGCACTGCTTTTAGAGTCTGTCTAAAATGATGAATTCAATATATATGATTAGAGTATTTGCCGCTCTCGCTGCCATGCAATAAATTACTTACATGTTATGCTTTAAATTGGACATAAAGTCTATTTGACGCCCACAGGCTTCTGTCGTTGCTATGCCACATTGCCACGGTTCCAACACTATGGTAAGTAAATGGCAGTAGAAGCCCAGAGGACATCTCTGATCTCCAAAGGCATCTTTGTTATGTTACAATGATGCCATAAATTGTAGAGGATGTTGTTTTTTTGACCTGCAGGTGGTAATTTAAGTACCTTAGCTAGGGCAAACAGAATGGCCTTTCTTTTATCTTCATACCATGACAAAAACATAAAGGCGCACACACTCACACATATTTCTAGAGAAAGGAGCAAAAACGGATATCTCTGCAAAGGGCATGCAGTGTTGATTTTTACAGACGGCATTGATAATATCGCCACCATAACAACAATGTTGAAATATGACATGCAGTTGTATTACAAATGATTTCTCTTTATGGATTTTCTATCTCCTGAACCACATTGTCCTTGTCATATACTGGTTCTAAAGCATTTGAGGAATGTGAAGGAGCCTATTTATGATAGGGAATGATATTAAGCCTTTTATTAAGAAACCACAACTAGATCCTAGTGAACTGGCAAATTACAAACCCATTTCAAATCTTCCATTTGTCAATTTTTTGAAAGTTGTCTGCACAACAACCACAACACTATGAGGAGTTTGTCAGGTTTCAGACCCCATCATAGCACAGAAACTGCACTTGTTAATTACTTGCATCAGCCCAAGGCTGCATCTCATTGCTAGTTTTACGTGATCTTAGTGCTGCGTTCGACAATAGATCATGACATTCTCAGATATATTACAAAACTATACAGGTATTCAAGGGCAGGCTTTAAGATGGTTTAGATCAGGGCTGCCCAAACTCGGTCCTGGAGGGCCGGTGTCCTGCAGAGTTTAGCTCAGTTTAACTCAGGACCGAGTTTGGGCAGCCCTAGATCCTACCTGTCTGATCGCTACCACTTTGTTCATTTAAATGGGGAGTCATCTCAATTATCACCAGTAAACACTGATAAGCTACCACTAAATATTGTAGAAACTTAATTTGCTGTAAAGTTGCTTTGCAACGATTTGTATCGTGAAAAGCGCTATACAAATAAACTTGAATTGAATTGAAATGTATGGTTACTGTGATTGGTTAACATGTACTCAAAAGGAAAATTGTAAAATTACATTCCTAGAAGTCCCTATATGACACTGATTATGTTTTATTTAAATATAATTTAAATAATATATGCTATATAATTTTCATCCTCTCAGATCATATGAGTCAAAAATCACATTATTCCTTCTCACCAAAATCACTTTACAAGCACACAATATCGCTATTTTCAACCCCTAAAGGATTTATAACAAACAAACAAACAACAACAACAACAAAACTTCTAAAGATATCAATATCTTGATAAATAGTTGTCGACTGCAGTTCCAGTCACACAACAGTTACACAGCACATACTAAACAAATTCACTCTCATAATAAGTTATGGTAGTACTTCTACCAATGTAACCATTGTTGACGCATAAAAAAACGTTCCCTTTTAGTCGGTCACTCCCAACGTCATGTCGGATGACCGACGAATTGGGATCTCGCTTAGAGAGACCAATCTACTTCGAGTGTAAACTAAATGAGCCAATGCACATTGGCATGCGATTATTGCATCCAGCTGCCGCTGATCACAGCGTGAGTATAAGTAGGCAGCAGATGCAGCGCATATTCAGCTTTTCGCTTCGGAGCCGAGCGATCACATCGTTCTGCTCCTGACTACTCTACTGAGAGAAGAAGACTCAACGAACTTCGTGTTGGCGGTACGGCGCTTCAGCGGTGGTTGTTTCCCATGTCGAGTGGGTTGCACACATCAGGCTGCACTACCCCCTGTTTGTGTTGCAGGCGGCCATCTCCCCTGTGCGCCTCAGCACTCTAAAAGAGCTTTTTCCCTAAAAGAGCAATTACGGGTGCATCTTTTTAAAGACGACATTGCGTGGCAAACTTGACATTACGTCTTTGTAAAGACGATGTGGGTCTTGCTATAGACAACGTATCACCCGAGCGTTTCTGGATGCGGTCGTTACCTGGCACTGGGTGATGGTCACGATCGCTGCCTCACGTGCCTGGGCATCTAGCAGAAGGTTAAATCCTCCCCAGCCCCCCTCCATACCCTCTTGGGACCTGTCTCTAGTGCTTAAAACACTACAGCAGGGCCCTTTTGAGCATTTGCACTCAGTCGAGCTAAAATTTCTTTCATTGAAAACTCTGCTCCTGCTTGCACTGGCCTCCATCAAGAGGGTAGGGGACCTGCACGCATTTTCGGTCGACGATTCGTTCCTAGAGTTCGGGCCGGCCGACTCCCAGGTAAAAGGCCCCGGCCCGGCTATGTGCCCAAGGTTCCCACTACTCCCTTCAGGGATCAGGAGGTGAGCCTGCAAGGGCTGCCCCCCGGAGGAGGCAGACCCAGCCTAGCTTTGCTCTGTCCCGTCCGAGGCCTTAAGGTGCTACGTAGACCGGACCCTCCTGGGCGCTGGCTCGTGGCGCCTCGCTGGCAGATATCTGTAGAGCTGCGGGCTGGGCGACCCCTAACACATTCGCTAGGTTCTATAGCCTTCGTGCGGAGCCGGTATTCTCCTGTGTTCTCACCTCAAACGGGTAGAAGCACGGAGTGGCCCCGGCTTCGGTTCGGCTTGCTAAAACCGCTCCAGAGAGTCTATATAGTAGACCCTGTTGAGCTCCTCCGTCCCTTCGGCAGCCAGACGTGGCGGAGCGTCCGGCGCCAGGCCTTCATTCCATGTACCACACTGATCTCAGTAGGGCTAAGCCGGCTATATTGATGTAATGTAGAATGACCCCACCCATGTGTAATATCCAGAAGAAATGCTTCACCACTCATTAGTATGCTGCAAAGTGATCTTCCCCCGCCACACAAAGTAATAGAACCAATAAGAGGCTAATCAGGTGTGTGGGAGCTATTGATCACTTTATCAAATACCTGCATGAGCTGTACACATTCTATTTACACAGTGTTTACAGCCGATTGCAGTGCAAGCCTGCATGCTTTCTTACCACATTGATGCCGCCCGAGTTCTCGTGACTGCACATGCCCTCCAGCGGAGCCATGCCAATGGTGGTGCCCTTGAAAATCACACCACTGCAAGGAAAACAAAATATACTTTCAGCTATGATATAAAGTCATTCTTTATCCCTTTAAAGGGATAGTTCAGACAAAAATGAAATTTCTGCTAACATTTAATCATTCATGTGGGTTTTTTTCATACAGTTTTGGAACAAATAGAAGGTGAGTAAACGATGTAAGCTTTTCAGTTTTTAGGTGAAATATCCCTTTAAATAAAACAAAAAAGTGTAACTAATTATATATTTTTAAAATATATGATGATCCAGCATCATTAAGAATACGTTACAGGACAGTCTTGTTCTATATGTGCAGAAGGTGGGTGTGTATTGTGACTAACGTGAGTAGTTGTGCATTGTCATGTTTCTTGCGGGATTTGAGTTTCTGTCTCCACTGTAGGAAGGACCAAAGAGTTGAATTTGGCTCCTCATTGATGATGCACTGATCATGTTCAGTCCAAACCTCTAGACCAATCAGAGGTACACGGATATTCAATTCTCTGTAGAACTGATCAGACCAAAACAAACAATTAGGAACATGGCAAATTTTTTTTATTAAATATAATTATAATACAGACATCTAGGAATTTTGCATTCAGAGAACAAATATGCAGTCTAAACAGTCAACAAAACCTTTGAACCAAAGAAATTCACCCAGGCTTGACATACCTTATCTACATAATTAGCAATTTCCATTATCCTCATTTTAGTTTTGTCAAGGTCCTTGTTTTGCTTTCTGTACTGTAGAGACAAGAGGCAATTTGATCAAGACGAACATACAAATGCATAGACCCTGCTTGAGAAACTGCAAAAACCCTGTTACAGAGAAATTTGATGAACTAAATCCAGCCATAATGAAATCTTACATAACCTTCTGCCTCTTTTGGCTTTTGGTGGATATTATACAGATTTGATGTAAATGTATGAAAGAACTCAATCAGAAAACTCAACAGAATGTAACACTGAAAGATTGTCTGCATGCCTCTTACGAAATGCATCCCTCATACCCGAGGAATAAAAATGAAACTATTAAATTCACTGATAACGTCTCGATAACTCCTCATACATGTAAGATATCAGTAATGGGAGTGATAGAAAAGAGAGGGAGAGAGCAAAATGGCACTTCCGAAGCTCTATATTTAAACAGCAACTGCTCAGTGGCCACATTTGAATGAGAAAGCAACACTAGGCTTAAAGTACCGGTTCTAAAATACAGTTTATATAACTCGTCCTGTATTTGAAGCTTTAAAGCCTTAATTCCTGTGGTGAACTTTACTGTGTGGAAGTATCTAATTAGTGGAAGTGAGCATGACACAGGAATCATCAGCTTACCAGTGTGTTGTCAGCTACTATATACAGTTCCATGTACTTTGTAGTACCCCAGGCATTTCGTCTAACCTAGGGGTGGGGATAAATACAGAAACAAACAAACGGCAAGCAAAATGAAACGTTAATTGCTGGAGGGCAGGATTTCTGGATTTGTTTCTCAAGTCTCTTGGCACTTGCTTTTACATACGTACAATAACTGTCTGCAACTACTTAACAAGTAATGAAGTGACAATTGTATTCAATCACACATATTGAATTTAATATAAAATGAGTTTAATGTAAATGCTAATTGTTGTTTGTGTGCAAAAAAAAGGTTTTACAAACTGACTACAAAATCTACAAAACTGTATGCAACAATATTTTAGCAATGTGTTTAGTTTTCAATGCTTGCCATCACTGCGGTTCTTCATGTTCAGTTTTATTTGCATTTTAATTGACGGGTCTAATTCATTTGAAAGAGTGCATTGGCACAGTAATCACAAAAGTATTCAGTCGTCACAAAGTGACAGCAAGCACTTTACAGTAACCAAGCAGTAAATAAAATGTGAGTGAAACAGAATGTGCATATAAGTCATCTTCCTTGGCAACCAGTGGAAAATAAAAGTGCAAGTTGATACAAATACAAAGCAATACAAATCGGAACTCTGCATTCCAAAATGAGTCTCGTCAGGAACTTGTTTGTACGCCTATTAGCTACAGGGATGGAAATCTTTGGAAATGTAATCATTCTGTTGGAAAAAATATATATTTTTTTTCTATGTACAAAATGCCATGGACTTGTTTTTATTGTGGAGGACACATCACCAACTACAAAGAGCCAAGGAGAAACAAATTGAGTCATTCGACAAAGTGAAATTCCCAAAATAGTGTCGATATGATTCTGTACACATGAGATCTGTGGTAATTAAAGACTAAAACCTACACAGGGACATACTGTACTACAGTATATATGAACTTCAAGATTCAGGAACTTTGTAATCCAATTGTACCAGGAATACATCATCACTGAGGAGTGAGCACATTAGTCCGCACTGTTTATTAATTTATGGACCCTCTGATTCTCATTTGTAAACAGCAGGCCAGTTAGAAGTCTCTAATGCTCGGCTTTAATGAGAAAGCAAGTGCAAGCAGAACAATAGCAGTAGGAGGGCTCCCAACTCCTGCTAATGATCCTCAAGAGTTTTATAATAAGCCCACATTATGCACTTCATCAGTCTAAACACTTAACCTGGGCTTAAGATGGCTTTATTTCTGTACTGTAATGAGCCAAAACACATTTTTCTTTCTGCAGCACATTATGGGAACAATTTAAATTACTGACGCACAATGCAACACAACAGCTTGGCGTCAGACTGCAATGTTCTCTTTCGTGAGTGGCCTATCTAGCTATTATAGATTGGAGGGAACAGAACATCCTTGCTATTGTAAGAGAGAAATCTTCTCTGACATCACACACAATCCACTCATGAGATCAGAAATAGAGACGTTACACACTGAATAATGATGGTAATGACTCACTGTTATTTCCCTAATGACTATTATGCTTACAATCTAGTGAGAGCTGCTTTACAAAATGAGACTTTTTGGTCACCTGTGGAAAGGACTACTTAAATACACTTTTGCATGACATCTACTTTAGTGAAATATATTGTAAACATCAACATTTATTACCAAGTCTCTTCATTTTATCAGCTGTTAAATGTGATCCTGGACCACAAAACCAGTCCTAAGGGTCAATTTTTTGAAATTGACATTTATACATCATCTGAAATCTAAATAAATAAGCTTTCCATTGATGTATGGTTTGTTAGGATAGGACAATATTTGGCCGAGATACAACTATTTGAGAATCTGGAATTTGAGGGTGCAAAAATATCTAAATACTGAGAAAATTGCCTTTAAAGCTGTCCAAATGAAGTTTTTAGCAATGCATATTACTTATCAAAAATGAAGTTTTAATAAATTTAGGGTAGGAAATAGGGATGCAATGATACAATTTTTTTCAGATTTGATCCGATCCAGAAAATTCAGAGTATTGGCTGATTCCGATCTGATACCAGCGCAGTTTTTTTAAATCAATGTAGAATTTCTATACTTCTTTGTGTTGACCTGATCGTCACTCTTTTGTGTGTTAAACACAATCTACTAAATATAGACAACTTCATTTTAATGAACACTACACATAGAGAAGTTCAAAGCACAAAGGCAAGAGATATTGATGCGTAGTTTATTAAATCTGTGCGATAGTTTATTGAGCCTTTTCTTTTACCAGTTTTAAATTTCAGTTACTGTGCGCTCTTGAAGAGAGTGTCATTGTTTTGACTGTCGTAACCGAACGTGACCGTGTGAATGGAGCAGGGGTTCTCAACCTTTTTTACTCCGGGGCCCCCCTCCTTCTCCGGTCAATTTTGCAAGGCCCCCCTATGCCTGACATTTCCTCTTCCGCAGCAAAGAGAAAAGTGTTTATTTTTAAACCTTTTTTATTAACCAAAACATTTGTTTTGCCTTATTATTCTTCTACTGCATGATATAAAAACAAAACCTCAATGTGTTGACCTGATCATCGCTCTTTTGTGTGTTAAACACAATCTACTAAATATAGACAACTTCATTTTAATGAACACTACACATAGAGAAGTTCAAAGCACAAAGGCAAGAGATATTGATGCGTAGTTTATTAAATCTGTGCGATAGTTTATTGAGCCTTTTCTTTTACCAGTTTTAAATTTCAGTTACTGTGCGCTCTTGAAGAGAGTGTCATTGTTTTGACTGTCGTAACCGAACGTGACCCACAGTGTGAATTAGGGCTGCACGATTATGACAAAAATCATAATTGTCGATTATTCCCTTGAAATTGTGATGCCAAAAGACCACTCGCTAAACCTGTCCCTTTGAACTGGACTGACTGAATATATACAGTTTGTATCCATTAAAAAAAATAAACAAAAAATACAGCAAATTCATTCTAAATCTTTTGAAACACATCGATCTGAAGGCGGATCGGCGAAGACGGGATCAGTGAACAGTACCTCCCTCAGAGCGCGTCTGATGCTCATATGTGCATAAACACCACTGAGCCTCACAAGATCCTCCTCTATGGGTGAGCATCCATTATAAAACACTCAGAGGACATTAATTTGGACAACTATGCAAATATATTGAAATTTCACGCAAAAATACGATAGGGATCAGAGCCCAGAGAGCACGCATAGTTTGTGAATCAATAATGCGTGCCTAATGTACGACTCTGATATACAGGAGTGTCATACATTGGGCACGCATAAGTTCGTTATTATTACTCTAATCGTCTTTACCTTTACATTAGCACAACGGTTTGCTTCATGCAGCCGAGAGATGTAGTTTGCGTGCAGGGGTTGGAAGTTTTGAGCCGCCGTTTAGTCTGTATTTAACAGTGCAATGAGGCTTGCGAAGCAATCAATCACAGAACACGAGAGAGGCTGTGCTTTGATCATTTTAATTTAACACATTAATAATGAAATTAAACAATTATAGGATAATATTTAAAGGTCCCATATTGCCAAAACTGAAATTTCCTGGCTTTTTTCATGATAACTGAGGTCTAGGTGCTATGTAACTACCATATAAGTTTCAAAACAGTCAGTCCACAGTAAAATTCACACAGCCTGCATAAAGTAGCTGTGATTTTTCACGAACCGTTGTGACTTCCGTAAAAAGTTGACGTCAGAACTACACAGTCACCGCCTTCAGTCACCACCCGAGCACCCATTATTGTTCCAGCCACAATTAATCACTACATAGAATTAAAAATTACATTTGTTGTTTTATACACACGCACACAGACATTATTTCATACACGACATAGTCGTGAGATGCATGAAACATAGACATATGGCAAGAAATCTGTAGACATGCCCATAACAACAAAAGAGAATACTTTATTGAACCTTTTCTGATAAGAAGTGTGCGCTGCAAATGCAAGCATTTTTGACGATCGTTTCTGTCCAGTCTGCTCGTTTTATCACGTTTAATTTTAAGCCATCTCGCGGCCCCCCTGGAGGATCACTGAGGCCCCCTAGTGGGCCGCGACCCCCCGATTGAGAACCCCTGAAATGGAGGATGACAAACAGCTGCCGCGGAGAGAAGAGTTTACGTGAACTTGAATTTAACGACTTAAATATTCATCTCTACCTCACATTAAACTATGGAATGGCTTCAGAACACTTGGACTTTGACTTTATGGTGCTTTATAATGTTTTTGTGCTTTCGTGAGGCTTAACAATAACACAGAATAGTATACGCAGAATATCGGATTTGGATCGGTCTCGTCTGACCGATACCCGATCCGGCAGAAAATGTCAGTATCGGAGCCGATACCGATACTGAGTATCAGATCGATGCATCCCTAGTTGGAAATCTACAAAATATCTTCACGGAACATGATCTTTACTTAATATCCTAATGATTTTTGGCATAAAAGAAAAATCGATCATTTTGACCCATACAATGTATTTTTAGCTATTGCTACAAATATACCTGTGCTACTTATGACTGGTTTTGTGGTCCAGGGTCACAAATTATGACATGGGACACATCATAAATCAAACTGATTTAATTTCTGACTGACCCTTTGATGCAAAGGTTTAAGATGACCACTGAACAGACTGATGTGTCCAGTCTGATGGCTGTGTCCACAGGTGCCGGTTTTGACCGGCAGGTCTTCAGTGCGATAGAAGGTGTGGTGGAGAACCTCCTGGCCTCCGATTGGCTCCAGGTAGTATGTACCATTAGAGTTCAAGACAATCAAACCTCTGCAGAAGGAAATCGGAGTAATGTCAGCTCAAATGATCTGTTGTTAAACTTCTGTCAACTGTCAATCATTTACTCACCTTCATGTGGTTCCAAAGCTGTTTGACTTTATTTCTTAATAAATAAAGATATTTTGGACCCCAAATAACCTTGGACCCCATTGACTTTCATTGTATGGACAAAAACCCCCAGAAAGTCATACAAGTTTTGAACAACATGAGGGTGAGTAAATGATGGCAGAATTTGTTTTAGTAAGGTTTTGCCGTTACTAGTGATATTTAAGAATGCCAGTAAAAGAGATGTGCATATCTATAAGTTCATTTTCAGTTGATCTTTCTTTTACAAACATATATGGACACACAGAGTGGAATTTTAATGCCTCTTCATCCTTCTTTTAACCTCAGTATAGTTAACGGCATTAAGTAGTTATGCATTAACTAATCAGAGAGATCAGAAGGGCCGCTGAAACGCTGCTGGATTTGCGGTCTCCCAAAGCACCTCTACAGAACCACTCTAAATTTGACCTCTGTAAAAAGTTTTCAAACAGTACATTTGAAAAATATGTTAAAAATAAAGTCCATGAGACTGCAGGGTGACCTATTTGCCATTTCAGATTGGTGTTCTCGAGTCTCCCCCTTTGTGTCTACGATGTGTCCTCAATATGCATTTTCGTCGAGTCTGCAATGATGTGGGTTCCACAGTGGACCACTATTCAACAGCTTATGCAGCACAACGGCAAGGACTTGGGGCTGAATTTGGGACAAGGTCTTTAGAGTTTGATTTACTTATGTAGAATACAAATCAAAGGTTTAGGTTCAGCAAGATTTTAAATATATATATATTTATCAGATAATCCTTAAAGGGGTCCTATTATGCTTTTTCACTTTTTCAACTTTAGTTAGTCTGCAATGTTGCTGTTTGAGCATAAAAAAGATCTGCGAAGTTACAAAGCTCAAAGTCCAATTCAAAAGGAGATATTTTATTGAACAGAAATCACTTTTCAAAAACTACAACGAACGACTCGTTTGGACTACAACGCATATTTTCCGGGATGTGTGATATCACAAATACGGACGAATGGGACGAGATCTGGTTGAGCTGCGCTAGAGAAGGCAGCGAGTGTTATCACTATGTCGGAGACACGCTAGCTTTCCCAAGGCAGACGAACTTAAAGTGGTTACAATCCGGCAATCTCTGCTTTTATAAAAATATTAAGCATCACGACTGTTTTCAACAAAAATGTTTCTTGAACACCAAAGCAACATATTAGAATGATTTCTGTAGGATCAGGATGTAGGATGAAGACTAGAGTAAGCTTTGCAATCACAGGAATACATTACATTTTAAAATATATTAATATACAAAACTTTTATTTTAAATTACAATAATAAGATCAAAGAAATGCAGCCTTGGTGAGAGAGACTTTTTAAAAAAAAACATAAAAAAATTGAGTGGCAATGTATTTATCAATTAAGAGCTTTCATCATCAGCAAAGCATCGCTGGCAGAAGTACTAATGTATTCTAATATAAACAGAATCTTTCAAAAGTTTTACTAAATGTAAAGAGATAAAATAAACTACTGTTCCACAGCAATTCCACTGTTGAATTTGTTTTAATTTGTTTTATTCTTGTTTACAAAAGAGATTTATGGTTATTGGAAATGTGTTTTGTCTTCACATTTTTCACAACTGGTCCAAATCCATTTAGTCAAAAAACCATTTGTTTACGCCCCAGGGCATCCAACTATTATCTTCAAAATGAGGATTGTCATTTTCCCCAAGTTGACAACAACAGGCAAGCAGAAATGACTCAGGGTATGGCTTTATAATAGTTACTGACACTAAAACTGTAGGCAAATTTGGCTGTGATTTGATTTACCTTGGCTTAAATGTAATGATATTCATGAAATAATAAATAATAAAATACATATTTAAATCAATCAACTACATTACTGCCAAATTTTTAAATGGGCCGATGCCTCTGCAGACTATGGCACACATCAACACATGACCTCCAATGAGCTGAGGGTAAAGAAACCCAACAGTCGCCTTGAGAAAAGCCATATGAAAACATACAGTGCTAATTACGTTTGCTCTTACAAAATCTTGCAACAGCTGTTCAATGACTTGATCTGTCTTCATAAGAAATTCAAGACCTTTGGCAATATCAAGAGACAGACTCTCCAGGGCTTTGCCTTTAAAAACTCTTTTATTTTCATATAACTGGCTACTCAACTCAATATATATTACAACAAACTCTGGATGTCAAAAGAGCGACTACTCTCATAGTCTATGCACTGAATGATCAGGAATGACAGCAAACACACTTTAGGGAATGCTGATTCATCCCACAACTATCCTGACTGCGGTTCTCTGATTTCACACAATTTTCCAGAGTAAACGGCAGTTGCATTTATCATCTAGCCACATTTAACCAATTATGTAGCCAACACATCTTTGGTATTTCAAATGATTTAAATGGTTTTTAAATGTTTTTTTCTCTCTCTCTCTCTGCAACTTCTTTCCTGATATTACTTCATAATAACTTTCTTTATCAAGCCACTAAAAATATTATCTGATGATCAGTAGTTCATGTATAATCAAAAATTGATATACAATACACTACCATTCAGTAGTTTGGGGTCTGTAAGATTTTTTTAATGATTTGTAAAGAAGAAGTCTTTTTTGCTCACCAATGCTGCATTTATTTAATTAAAAATATAGTAAAACAGTAATATTATCACTATCCATTGTTTTATATTTATTCCTGTGATGACAAAACTCAGTTTTCAGCAGCCTCCAGTCTTCATTCTACATTTTTTATTATAATAAATGTTGAAAACATATGTGCTGCTTCATATTTTTGTGTAAAGTGTTTGTTTCCTGATTCTTTGATGAAGAGAAAGTAAAAAAGAACACTATTATTTGAAAGAGACATCTTTTAGAACGTTTTACAACACTTTTTAAAACAACATTATAAATGTCTTCACTATGTCCTTGCCGAGTAAAAGTATTAATTTCTTTGGGGGAAAAAATCTTACTGACCTCAGACTGATAGGGGTATATGAAGTGTATATATTAAGTAAAGTTCAAAAACTAAACTAATGGTTGCATAATGAAGTAATGACTTTTCATCAATAAAGAATATTTAACTTATGTTATCCATGACCTTCATGTTCTCTTTGTCAAAGCCCACCAGTACAATAAATGTGTAGTAAAATGAAAACAATCCTTTATTTATTATCAAGACAAAACCTTTGGTTTGTGAAATTTTTAAAACAGTCAGTTGTGTATGTTTCAAAGACACAGATGTTTGGCTTGTATCTCTTGGCATTAGGTTTAGATTCAGCAGGAACAGACAGGGGCAGATGCAGTTTCAAGGCTGTTTGTGGATATTGTTTATACGTAGAGAGGAAGTGTTCAGTGCTGAATGAGGACTGAGCACAACAAACTATTAACATTCTGGTAGGGCCACAGCATTAGTCATCAGTGCTTATATTCAATAACCTGGCCAAAACATTTCCGCTCTTCACAAATTAAGCACACAGAATTGTGCTGCATATGCAAAATTAAAGATGGCCGACTTTTTGCAAGCACAAACGCAGAGTACCAACTAGATTTTCTTTCTCTCTATGGAGCATTTTGTACTTTCATGCTTCCATGCAAACCCATAAACTAAATTAAAGATGGCCGACTTTTTGCAAGCACAAACGCAGAGTACCAACTAGATTTTCTTTCTCTATATGGAGCATTTTGTACTTTCATGCTTCCATGCAAACCCATAAACACTTGCTCACAAAGTCTTATTCACACAACTAACTGAAAAAACAAACAAAAAGAGTCATAATGCTCACAGGATGTTCGTACAATCAAGCAGTTTACATGCTTATCACACTAAGCCATGTGGCATTTTAGCCTTCCTAAGACATGTGACCGAATGAATTGAGCGTATTGTGTCTGAAGAGAATCCAATTATGCAAGACATGACATACCTCATTCCCAAACATGTGCTTAGAGCGACCCACGAGTCGGCGTGACCTCTGACCCTCCCGTGATAGAAGCAATGATCCTGGAAAAGGAAGGAGTGAAAGAGATTACTGGAGGCAATGCAGAGAAAATGAGATAAGAGGGAGCAGTTTGCTCAAGAGACAGGCTGCGGAGTTAATGTTGTTCATAAAATGGGCAAAACCGAGTTACTGGAACATCTATCTAATTAGTAGTAAAAAGACTACATCTGTAAATCACAATTACATTTGTTACATTTTTGGCTTTCAGGTTTATTGGACTTAATTAGTCTGCCTCTTTTTGATTACAGCACCAAAAAACTTCCCTCAGGAGTTTACCGCTAACATTTGGAAAAGAATCGCTCCATTTAACTCTACTGAAACAGATCCAAACTACGTACAAGTGATATTCTTTCAGCTATTAAAAAAGGCTTATATGAACGGTCAGACCATGAAATTAGTTCATTTATTTGAACAGACAGGAAGCAAAAGAGGGATGGTCAAGCACCACAGACACAAATCAACAGTCTCTGAAGACAACACTTGACAATCCCTGCTTCCAAATATACCTACTTCCCTACTATATAGTAGGTGAGAAATAAGAAGTATGTGCAAATTCATCAAACAGTAGGCGAAAAAAGTGTGCATCTGATGTCCAGTGAGGCCACAGGAGAGGACTTGTGAATGGTTTCATCCAGTTTTCATTCATATTACACACATTCATGCTATATAGAATGTACTGTTTTAATGTTACAAAGTTTGTTCCTCATGAAAAGAGGATGCAGTTTGGTCACACTTTATTTTAAGGTCTAATTCTCACTATTAACAAATCATTAACTACAACTTTTGCCTCAATAAACTCCTAATTTGCTGCTTATTAATAGTTAGTAAGGTAGTTGTTAAGATATTGAGTAGGATTAGGAATGTACAGTGCCTTGCGAAAGTATCATTTTTTTCACATTTTGTTATGTTGCTGCCTTATGTTAAACTGCTTAAATGTACTTTTTTCTCCACATCAATCTACACTCCATACACCATATTGACAAAGCAAAAACAGAATTGTCACAACTTCGTAAATTAATTAAAAATAAAAAAACTGAAATAGGTACATTGCATAAGTATTCATACCCTTAACTAAATATTTAGCTGAAGCACCTTTACAGCCTCAAGTCTTTTTT